TTCAAACTTGCCGGACGCCACGAGTGGGAGGCCTGGACAAAAGGTAAATTCAGCGAGCGTGTAGGCGGTAAGAAAGACAAGAGGGGTAATCTTTTCCTGCGAGAATATAAGGGGTTGCTCACAAAAAAATGAGGGAATCACTGGTGATTGATAAGGGGGCTTCCGCAACTACGATATCGAGCAAGACAGAATCAAGAAAAACGACGAACGCGTACGAAGGGTTAGAAGATAAGATTTTTTAAATAATATTTTGTTTGTAATATTTATTTGTAATATTTTCAGAATCTTTAATAATAGTTTTTTGTATTGAATTGAATTTGTGCAGGCTGAAATATGCTTTTTTTTACATTACTCGTTCTTTAGTTGTATTTTTATAACATTTGGTGAAACTGCAGATTCATGAAGTTGTGAGAATCAAACAACAAAATATTATTATAATATAAAAAGTAAACAACATTTAAATTTTTTATGTGAATCTAAGATCAACTTAAGCCACTTTCGTTCGATCGATAAATTTAACAATTTGAAGCACATCTTTACATTAAAATTACTAAAATTGGAGTTAAATGTATAGGACTGTCAGTCATTCCCAACATAAAATCTTACATCTTGTGAGAGAGATCTCTCTGCAGATTCCAATACACATTTGTGAATCTTGTTTCTAGACAAAAAATCATTTTTGTCATTTTTCTAAAGAACATAAAAATCTTAAGAAAATGATTCAATGGTTACTCTCCAAACAAAAAAGAGAAGTTAGAAGAAATGTCAAACCTATTCATTACGTTTGCACACATCGAAACAACTCTACGGTTACCTATCCATCTTTCCTTACAAACAAACAATAAATTCTCCTTCGTGTTTTCCTCTCGTTCTTCTCCTTTCTAGCAGTTAATATCTGAAGTTTTTATAATTCCTTCCTCCCTCCTTTAACGACAAAATTCCCAACTCTTTTATTTTAACAATAAAAGATAAGTAGTTCGTAAATTTATCATCCGCACCCATTCCATTCAATGCTTGTTACAGTTAGGTGAAAACTTCTCTTTACCTGTTCACAAAAAGACAATAATTGAATTTATAAAAAAATATATAGTAGAGTTTCTCTCACCACTAGTAAGATACATATTGATAAACATTGACGATTAGGAATCACTCGATTCCTATTATTAATAATTTAATTTCTGTTTCTGAGATTTCTACTGTTGGTGATAACTCTGTTAATCACCAACTTTTCGTTCTTTTAAAAAAGACCAAGAAATTTATGACTAATAAATATCCTGATACTATCTTTACCAAAACGGATAAGAGGAATATAAACAGATAACGTTAACCATTGATAATAAAAATTATAATCAGAAGATGCATGAGATGTTAAATGACTCCGATACTTATACAAAGGTTAAGAAAGATCTAACAAAAACTATCATAAGTAACATTCGTATCTTATACTTACGTCTGTTAGGCGGGAGTGTGAGAATCTTTCTGCTTCTTGTTTTCATTTCACTGAGGATGGCCCCAAATGTGGCCGAAACGTTCGATGTTGAAGCAAGTCAAATACAGTTTTTATTTATAAAAATTAATTATATAAAATTTGCGCACCATTCTGCTGTACTCTCATTTGCCCTAATTTCTGATTAATTAATTTTTAATTTTGAGACTTTAATAAGTTTTTTGTATTAAATGAAATACTGTTAAAAATGTTTTAATAAACTAGATCTCTTAAATTATTTCCTTAGGAAACAGATATCGTACGTGGGTGGTTCAAGTCAAATCGGAACTTTTATTCTTATGTTCATGAGAATAAAAGTCCCGGTTTGACTTGAACTACTCACGTATTTTAATGGGTCTATAATTAAATTCTAAACATTTATACTTAAAAAGAAGGATACATAAAGATTACTATACAAATTTTATATGTAAAATTGATGCACAATAGTTGAATAAACTATTTTATAATTATTAGCCGCCGCGCTTTCAGCACAGAACGTTTAATTCACAATTGTTGGAAGTTTTTTTTCGCGTTGATTGGATTATATTTTCAAATTTAGAAATAGTCCTTTCTCGGCAAGCAGATCTTCTATTAGTTGCAAAATAAACATTTTGCTGAACGCAGTCACCGTAACTATAAAATAGTTTATTTAACTATATATATATATATATATATATATATATTATGTATGTTACATTAATTCTACATATAAAACTTGTATAGTTGTCACTTTTACAATTGTTACCGCTATGTTTTCTTTGAGTGTGGATACGGGAATAGACTCTATAGTTAGTATTTCATGTCATATTCTTCTTTCATTCTCGATAATCGAAAATAGAAAATACATCCTGTTATATCAGTCTTCATTAAATCGAGAAAAATGTATATTTTTATTGCATAAGTAAAACATATCGGTATATAATTCAGTATAGTATAAACTCAATAGTGTAAAGCAATATTGATAGATGAGAAGTTGTTCCGTGCGATAAGCAACGGCCCAAATCACTTATTTTCATGATGCATTACGAGGAGATCCGCTCGATAGCCGTAACATTGCAGACAGGATTGCATCCAGCTGCTCGATATACAGTTATGTTTTCTCACATGTGCGTACCGTATGTACTGCTCTATAACAGATTCTCGCGCGGCGCAATGATTAAATCGTGACTCGCGGCTTGCGTCGCGATTCGTGATGTGCCATCGCGAGAGATTTTGTTATGCATACACATATCTGGCATTAATCTTAACGGTGCTGTTCGTCCTCTCACTTATCACGTGCGGTATTCGTATGTATGAAATTGCGAAAAAATTACGATCGTGAATGTATACGAGTCTCCGCGCTCTCATTATGAGATCTGAATGGTATATCGTTTTCACATGAGCTACGTTCACGTATGCCAGACCAAGCGTATGCATAAGTAAAAACGGCGTTGAATTCGAATCTCTTGAAAATTTTTCCGTCTTTATTTGACAACTTTTTGAATGAGCGACAATGGAAATTTTGATTGGCATAAAACGGAACGCGATGGAATGTAAATGTTAGTGATAATGTATGAATGTGGAACATCAGAATAAAGATTACTGATTTAAATTGTGCAGCACTAAAAAGGGACAAATACTATATTATAGATCATTAACTCTTTAAGGACCTTTCGGAGCTTTTTAACAAAGTAGTGACTTGTGGAAGATTTTGTTTTTTTAAGAGTTTATAAGGGTCGCTAAATTTGATTTCCAGCATTTCCAGACTCAAAATTTTTTAATTCAAATTAAAAATAAATTTGGTTGTAGAACTTGGTTTTAGGAGATTCTTGGTGAATTTTAGATCTTTGCTGAGCCTGAAAACATCGAATTTCAAAAGAATACTCCAAGAAGGAGAATCATAAGTGTCACAGGTTATAATCAGAGTTTGAAAGTCAGTTTGGAAATCAGTACTAACTGTATGCGTAGCTTTGATGAGCTTCAAATAATGCGAAATTTGATGTCGTGCTTTGTAATTAAAAATTCCATCAAAATCAAATTCTGTGATAATCAAATTATTTAAAAAAAATTCTATCCGTCATATTGAATCCATATTTTGAATCCATAATTTTTTATTTTTGATTCGAATGTATTATCAAATTATCACAGGAGATACGTAGTGTCTTGGCGGTAAGACAAGTCTTACAGACCAAGCATCATAAGGTACATCGAGCGAGCAATTTATAAAATAAAAAGGGATGACCATTCCATAGAAGCTTAAAAAATGAGTTTTTTTTAGGATATAAGGATCTCAAGTGCAGATTTTCAGCTTGAAACTTCACCATGTATTAATGAAAAATTTAACAGATGTTCAATCATAGACATGAAACAGAATAGAACCATTCTGATAATCTTTAACAAAATTCCGTTAGAGCAGAGTTAAATTTGATCCCAGAGAAAGCCTTCGATATGGTATTGCATACTTAAACTATGGCTTGCCATCATCAAAAATCTCATTACACTAAGAAGTCACATTATTTTCTTCTTTACTATACTAGACTGCATACAAAGTGTGTTTATTGAGTTCCTTTATTGTACACGCTGGGCATCTGCTAGCCTCCTTTACTTCAATCAGTCCCAAGTATCATAACTACTACTCCAAATAGTAGCAGAATTATCTTCTTAAACAAAGACGGATAGATAAGAAGTCTTTGTTTCACGAACTATGTTCTGTACATATTTATGCACAGTATTTGCAAAGCTTTAAAATTCATAATTCGCATTATTTCTATCTCTTCTCCATGTTCTTTTAGTCTGTTCCTTTCACGCACATGCCTCTTGATCTCTTCCGTCAGCCATGGTGCCGGTAGATTTCTAAAAAGAACACCTTGTGCTTAGGAGCATGCTTGTTGAAATGATCTAAGAGTTTACTGTTAAAGATGTCCACCTTATCCTCGAAGCTATTAGAAGATATATGTATAAGATCTGACCAGTCACATTCCTCTATGCCATAGAGAAAGCTTTGCTCATTAAAATTTTTTAAGTCTGCACAAACTTGATCTAGAGGGGCATCGCTTAATATTAATTCGATATACAATACAGATTAAATTGTGTGCTGACAAAAAAGGGACCGCAGTCTTTCTCCCATAACCCGTATTCTAAGAAATTTTTATTAATTGTCGATAATATCATTGTTCTTTAATTTTTTTTTCCCCCCCCCCCCCATTGATAGACACGAAAATTGCCCGGTGCCGGTCGTCTTTAATAGTATCTTTTCTGTGGTATCGGTTTCGGAAACGATCCAGAAGACTGTAAGAACTCGCGTGGAAGTCCTTTCCTCCGGAAATTTATAATCTTCGAAGTATTAACAGCCTGATGTCAGTTTTAACTTTGAGAAGATCAAAATTCATCCACCAGAAGACTCGCAAGCTCGGCGGCGATTAATTTCCGGGGATTATTTTAAGGGTCTTCGAGTATGTATCTCGAGACATCCGGAAAGCGTAATCACGATCGAAACACGAGCACTGACTGGGTTTTCTTTTTTCTCTGCTTATAGATATACGGCTACAGCTGAACGAGCAACTGAGATGTCTCGACGTAAGGATGGAGGCACAAGTCGCCCTCGTGGTCGAGCTCCAGGATTTCTTCCGCAAAAGGGCGGAACTGGAGCTGGACTACAGCAAGTCTCTCGACAAGATGGCTAGGAGCATACAGTTGAGGCATAAGGAGCAGAAACAAAAGTATGATAAGTATATCATGTCTATCAATTCTGTATTTTATTATATACCTTTTTACATTATAAAGAACATTTGTGATAAGAAGGAATGCATAAATCACATAAAAATACAACTAAACATACAATTTCACTATCTTAGAAACATCGGCGCAAATGCGTAATTATGTAAATTTGTATTTATATTGCGTCAAAGCAATCTGCAATAATAGTTTTAAACAGTTTACATGTACCTTTTTTTTTACTAAAAATGCGATAGAACTAAATTACAACGTAGAGATTTGTTAACTGGATATAGAGCAAAATGACGAAAGGGAAAAATAATTCTATCGTAGATTACAACGTTAAATGATTAACGACGCATGCGTCAATTAATTCATTGTAATTCACAGGCGCGTATATCACGCGTTGCACGATGCAATGGGTGCATTTAGTACTACAACCGTTCGATGAGCGCTTGGCATATTCCGTTAGAACTAAAAATATATAGACCAAACAGATACAAGAGCTCACTGAGCGCTCAGTGGTACTGAATGCACCCACTGAAACGATGACGCGTATAACATTAAATATATTTGCGCTATTACATTACACATTGCGCAATGCGAATTGTTTCGCGATTACATTACATAAATTTTGATTGAGCTTGCGATTATATTCGAGACGTAAATCTTGATCATCGTATGATTACATTTATAGTCATGAAATACATAATAAATTGGCGCAGAAATCGATCTAGATACCTTAAGTATCTATTACAGAACTGTTCCTATACTAAAATCAACAACGATCTTAAATATTTTAGTATACTTCCGAGAAATTGTATTTCTTTTTTTTAAGAGTTAATATTGTATCATTAATGTTTGCAAAAGATAGAAATCCGTATTTTTTTTAACTAAATAACAGCACTAGGACGAATAGTCTGTAGGATATCCTACAGACATCCGCGTCGTTGATTATCTAGAGGACATCCCCAGAACGTCCCTCGGATAAAGTGTGATAGTTATATACGTTATAATTTAAAATATTTATTATTAAGTGTACAACGGCTTTAATATGCACAATATGGTGTCCATTAGTGCAACTGATTTCGTTATTGTAAGAAATGGCCTGTGATTTACGTTCGCGATATGGCGTTCACTCTCTAGCAGCTGCGCGCGCAGTCCCCGCGCGGTCTTGAGTGCGTTTCGTTTTGGGCTCACAGCGCTTGTAAGCATCATTTGTCTTTGTTTAATATTTGATAGAAAACAAGAATGAAGTGATGCTTACAGCATGTGAGCGTAAAAACAGAAACGCATCCCATATACATATATGTATGATTACCGACTTTAAGGATTGTCACTTTCGGAAACAAGACCTAAGGCGGCCATAATACTGGACACCGTGGCACCAGTAGCACGTGCGATTTCCGAACAGATCTAAACAGATACGATAAACTTCGAGACTCGCGGCAGTTGAATATAGAAAGTGAGGTAGTGTCATTAGTATTTAGTAAAATATACGTGTGATACACGTCGACTGCGTCTTACTTACTTTTAACGCTGTTAAAAATTATAACGCATCCTCTTGCATAATTATTAAAGGTATTTCAGTGTCTAATTTATGTCGGATTATGAGGTTATAACGTCGCCGATAAAATAAACGTGTGATGCATAAGCTGCGTTTCATTTAATTGTAATGAACTTTTTATGTATAACGCATCCTTGTATAATAAGTACAGATAATCAAAGTATGACTTTTTTCAATGTATGATCGTATTGGGTTTTGTCCTTTGTACTGTTTTGTTTGGAGAGACATTCCATAATATGAAAACAATTTTACGTGTCGCAAATATTCTTCCTTATATTATCATTGTAAGAAAATTAAACTCTAATTACGGGTTCTTATTTCATTTTGGGGAAGACTCTTGTAGCAGTATAAAATCGCGTCGATATTACGAAGAGTTTAAAACTACAGCCTTGGTCATAAATATAAAGAGCCTTCAATTTATTGCATTTTCTTTTGGGAAAGAAATATGGTAATAAAGGTCAAATTAGAACTAATAAAATTATCATGTTTGTAAAAATAAGTATTTTTTTAATAAAACTGTTTTTTAAAATTATTTTTCGTTAAATATAATCCATGTAAGTCAATTTGTGGGGATGTTTTGTATGACTCATGGTCAAGGCTGTATTTCGTTATTAATATTACACATTAGTATCACAAAAGTATTAATTAATGAATAAGAGAGCGTATTGTTAACAGAGATTTATGAATTCTTCTGCGCATATCGCATGACGATTTATATTTCTCGTATTCCGTGCAGTTTTCCGCGTTCCACTTTTTCTCATTTTTTTTCGCGTCCTACACGCGCGTGCACATCTGCTGGCACCGTTCCCGCATTTGCGACATGCCCCAGTTCCTTCTCGTCATTCAACCCTGAACGCGGGGCGCCCCTTTTATGCAGCGTATTCAGCGTCCACAAAAGGGATGCCTTTCGCGCTGTACATGGTACACGGGTAAAACGTAATCCGTAACCACGATGACACACTCTCGTTTCCCACTTGCACGTTTTCCTCATTTCGCTCCAGGAGATATTGCAAATCGATAGTTCTCTTCTTTGCGAAGGCGCATCCGGGATTACGTCGTCATATTTATTTACCCTTTCCTAAGAAATATAATTATCGTAAGTTTTATGGCCGATAACCGGATAACCTCTTTTCAACTGGCCTACTTGTAGTTTTAAAAATATTGTCCGTAAATGTTTATAAAATTATTTTTTATGTACGTCTGTGTAACTTGCAATACACATCGAATATGCATACTGTTACTACAAAACAGATTTAGGAAATCTGTTTGTAACGTCAAAATAATTTCAAGCATTTATATTCCTCAATTTTTGTCCATATTATTAAATGCACAGATTTTTTTGTTGGGTTCATCTTGTGTGGAAATGATAACTATTTTTATTTTTAAATAAAAATAGAATGACAACTATATTTATTTTTACATATATCTAAAATAAAATAAGGTTTTCTTTTTTGTTTGGACATTCTCAATTACACATAAAAACACAGTTTTATTCTATATTAAATATTTATTTATTTTTGTAAAACAGAAGGATATACATATATCGTTTATTTGTTACAATAACGACACAACTAAAAAAAATTGCAATTTTTTAATTGCTTGCAGAAAAATAATGAAAATATAAAGAAAAAAACGTACTTTTAAAACAACATAACTTTTATTTCTTCTACAATCAGTTATCATACCAAAAATACATTTCAAAATTAAAATTGTAGGAAAGTAAAGAGAACCGACCGAGGGGGTAACCACTAGCTGAAATATTGTCCCACAGATTACATGATTTCATATGATTTCATCTGATTACAAATAATTTTTTTCACTACATATGAAGTAATTTGGTAAAATATACGATTTTATTTAATATTATATAATGATTTCTCGTAGTTACGTATGTAATTATCGGATTATACATAGAGATTTCATATGAATTTTATAATGATTTCGAGGACTCTGTCCCACTATTACACGTTAAGTGGTTACCCCCTCGGAACCGACCATTTAAAAGTATTCATAGATGATCGGAATAAGTATGACAAGAGTCAGAGGAGCGTCATTGGCGTAACACATTGAGTGCTAGGATTGAAAACGAGAGATCCCGACGAGTTCTTCGAATCTCAATAGGCTCCGTTAATTTTTCCGCTGGCCCTTACACAATATTACAAAATTTTATTGATTAAAAACATTTAAATTTATTTTCTGGAAAACTGCTTTTTTATTAAAAAAAAAAAAAATCCTATTTTCTCGATTAAAGCGGATCTTAGTGCTTTAATCTTTCGGTATAAGTTTACATATCCAATTCTGCAAATCACGCCCAAAATCTTTTTCAGTCTTTGAAATGGGAGTGTGAAGTTGGCACCTTTATGTTTCGAAATCACAGTTCTTTTAAGAGTTCTAGATTATTTGGAACAAATAAGAGTTCCTCTAAAATAATTTTTAGAGAGAGTTCCGTTGATTAAAACAATAAATGTAGACTGTGAAAAATGGGGGTTCTAACGGTAAATGTTCACCTTTACACAGTCAGTTAAAAAGTTATCAACGAAACAATTTGTATACACAGAATGATGATCTCATATGTATTTTGTGTTCCAAAATTCTGTGTATACAAATTGTTTCGTTGATAACTTTTTAACGAATAACGATTCGAGCGACGGAAAAGGTCAGTGACCTTGACCTTCTTGAGGGTCAAGGTCAAGGTCACTCGGAAGTCATTCGGTGCTGACTATGTAAAGGTGAACATTTATCGAAATTTCTATAATAGAAACAGAATAAATATGCGCCTTCCTTAGTGTCGTCTTTACAGTTGTTAATAGGTTTATATACATTTTCATGAACACGTTGTAAGTTATAAAATGCATTCATTTTATATACAACTTTTCCTTTATGACTATCATCTTTATATTTCAATCGATTAGGTACAACACTGATAAATATAGATTATACCTAATACAAAATTAATCTGTTCTTTAAAAATCAATAAATGATTAAAGAAATATGATGTGTCTAATAATGTGACCAGAGATTACATAATACAATAATATCAAAACAATCTTACAATTAGATTTATGAAATAGGGCGATTTTAGAGAACTTGCTTATTTAGCATAAATATTATTTTATCTTCAATCTAAGGATGCGTGCGTGCGTACATTGTATATAGCGCATTTGAGATGCATGAACGAGCAAGTGGAATGATCGCTATTACGTATGCAAACACTGCAAATGTAAGGACGGCGGAACGATATGCATTCGCAAGACGACGCGAACGCGACGCTTTATCGGCTCGTTAGCGCAGTCAATTTAATTGCCGATATAATTACGTCGATATACACGCGTGTAGAAAACATGCACGTCCGCCGTCAATTCCATATCGCCTCTTATCTATCGTTTTCCGCAGGCGGGAACAATGGCCCCTATTCTCCAGCTACGCCTGCTGGCAGCAGCTCGTAAACGAGACCAAGTCCCTTAGCAGAGACCATGCCGCCCTGTCTGAGGTCTACAGCACCCACCTCGTGGGCCGTCTCAATCAGGTGATGGAGGACGTGCAGCGAATTTACAAGCGTGTGAGTGTCATACGCCACGCGGTACACGTTGCCGTTGTAGTAGCTGACTTAAGTCGGGATCGCGCAATTGCATCACCGGACGCCTAACTTTGAGAAGTTCGATCGCTCCATTGTCTCGTCGAATTAATTGCCTCAAATGTCTCCATTCCGCCCGCGCCGTCGTCGCCGCCCGCGTCGCGACGTTTCGTTACAACTTGACGGTGTGTGTTATCGATATACCGGGCGCTGGAAACAAAAACGAATGCTAATTCTATTATGACGAAATTCTCGACGTCGCCTCTCTCTCTCACGTTCTCTTACAATTACACGCATCTTCGTTTTTACTTTTGTAATTCTAAATAAACCATCACTAATCTTTTAGAATAAACAATAATAAGTGAAAATTGATCAGAAAGAAATGTTTGATACAAATAAATCAGAAGAAGACCTGCACGTATTCAGTTAAAGCAATAACTGTCTTGGAATCTTGGTGCCTGATAATATTTTTAATTTTTGTGTGAATTTTTACAGTTTCCAGCTCAAGCAGGCAAACGCCGATTATCTAATTATTTGTGCGTGGCCTGTAGTGTGCTTAAACTGGAAATTGTGTGGAAAATTCACACAAAAATATTATCAGGCACCAAGATTCGCTTTGACCGAAATATAAAGCCTTTTTTAACAAAAAGTTCATATCTTTTAAAATACTTAAGAATCACTCTCTATGTCTCGTACAAATTTATTTATACACGTTTTTGTATAATCGTAAATTCTTTCGAAAGAAGAAATGTTGTTTCTATTCCATTTAATTCAAATTAAATTCACGTTACGAAGAGACCATATACTCTGTATGTTTTTAATCGCGATTACATCTTTTCGGTACATCTGTTACTGCAGTGTCGCGAGATCGGCTATGAGACGCACGAGGAGATACTTCGAGTACTGCACGAGCTACACACGACAATGAAGACTTACCAGGCCTATCAGGCCGAGTCCAGACAGGCGGAGACGAAGCTCCGCGTCGCTGAGCAGCAACGCAGCAAACTTGAGGTAGCGAACGCGGACAGTCGTGAGAAACTTGCACGCAGCAAGAAATACAAGCTCATCGAGAAGGAAGTTAACAAGGTAGGTTTGTAAAATAGAACATATTGAAGATTGAGCTCGAATGTTTTTCGGTAAGAGTACTCATATCGGCGCTTAATCTTCACGGAAGCGGTTTAAGCTCTTCTATGTAGTCGCTTCAGCCATCTGCGTCGAACTGTCTTGAAACAAATGGAGCCTGTGGGCGCGGCGAAGGGAAATTGTACATAGCATTTTAAAAAGTTCTTTTTCGTATTTTATTTTATCTGCAGGATAAATGTATTTTTTTTAAATCTGCCAAGTTATTTTTTGTAGCACAAATTAGTACAAAATCCTTACTATTTATACCTTTTTTTATTTATTTCTTCTTTTTTTTCTTGTGGTCCTGCTAGCTTAATGTTAAGCTAGCAGCGTCACGTGTTTCTTCTAAATGGCATGTAGTACAAAAGTGTTTTTTGAAGTACAGATTAGCACAAAATGAGCACTAAATAGTTCAAAAAGTCTTTTTCGATTCTGCTCCTTCGTAGAGGTCAAATTTGATATTGTGTTCATTAATTTTAAAATTACGTCAGTTTGCAGTAAAAAATCGGTTTTATGCAAATAAATTTTTAATCCTCTGTCTGTAGTTTGGGGGGGTTTTTTTTTTTTGTATAAGACATACACTCAAATTTCTTCGAAATAAAGGAGAATGGAGTCCCTCTCCTAAAATATCTTGTAAAATATTTTGTAACTATCTCGTAATATCTATTTATAGTCATGTAATAGAAATATGGAAAAATAATCCTGAATTTTTCAACATTTTTTGAAAGTCTATAAAAACTTGATCTAGATAAAAAAAAAAGTTTCAGATTGTAGATGGAGGGAGCAAAAATATGATTACGGAGAATTAAAAGAGCAAAAAAATATTAATTTTTGAAATTTTAGGAAATTGTGATTTATGCTTCCCTCTCAACTATTCATCAATGAAGATTTCTTGAAATTTCTGTTTCAGATCATTCAGAGTTGACGTTTTTTGTAATGTCTCATTTATAATTTTGAAGTTAATGGACACATCTACACAGGGTGTCCGATAATAATTGCGTAATTTCTCTTGGGCAGGTATAGAACGGACTAAACTCGAGTCGAAAAGTTTTCTATCATTTTGCAATTTTTTTTAATTACCCAATGAGCAGAATGTCTAAAATCGACGCATAAGACAACTTTAAGACATCTTTAAGTGTTCTTTAAGAAACATCTTTAAGTTGTTTCATAAAGAACTCTAAAAAATATCTTAAAGTTGTCTCATGTGTCGATTTTAGACATTCTGCTCATTGCGTCGATTTTATCCGCTTATTCGGCAATCTTTAGAAATAAATATTATATCTCATAATTATTGCAAAAATTGCAAAATGATAGAGAACTTTTTCAACTCAATTTAGTCTGTTCTACCTGCATGCCCACGAGAGATTGTGCGATCATTACCGAACAATCTATATCAAATTTTTACTAATTGTAAAGATAATTCAATGTGCATGTATTGTAGGCATAGCTAGACTTTTGTTTGTGGCAGACCAAATTAGAGTTGATTGATGATTGAATTCGGGGAGGAAGGGAGAATAGATTGAGTGATATGGATTATTGGGCTTGTTCTGTTTTGTTTATTTCTTTTATTATTTTATTATTTTTAATTAATTATTGACAGTTTAAATCATAAATATTTAATTTACTAATTTACTTAATTTTTCTCTTGAAATTGTAAACTGATTCTTCGAACTAGAAGATTTTAAATTTATAACATTAGTCTTGGATTCTCAGAAAATTTTTCTATAACTTTCTTCTTCAATTCTTTCTTCTTTTCCAGAATTAATTTCTTGTAAATATTTATTAACGCCTAGTCCGTCTAAGCGATTTTAATTATTTTTATTCTTTAAGATTTAAGGGAGGGAGCACAGCAGCCACCCGCTTGGTTGTGCCCATGATATACCATATGTACAGTGAAACTACAAAAGAAATCTGAAAATACGTTTCATAAATTTTCTAAATCAAATTCCCGATAGTAACCTTCTTTTAGGTTTTCAAAAATAAAAGGCCGCTCAATAACATCTCACATTCGTAGCGAGTCTTATTAAAACTGTCAAGATGAGTAAAATCTGAGTGTATCTGAGCTCAATTATGAGCTCAATAAAATTTGACCAACACAATCCAACAATTCTAAATAAAAATTTCACGCAACTAATATTTAAGATAATGAAATGATATTTACATTTTTATAATTCAACATACACGTATTTTTCATATGGTTGCGATAATGCATGGATATTGCCTCGATCGTACGCGATTTATCCAGCCTCTTTCGGGAGCGACGCTGGCCGTGGATAAATCTGGCACATTGCGATTTTGCGGTGCGTCTTTCAGATTTTGGCACCGAGATATGACGACCGCAGCAACGTGTTATGAGATGCAGTCGGTCGAGAAATTATTTGTTGACGATCATCTCGCCGCGCGCTACTTTTCCTCTTACTTCCTTCGCCAATCCGGCAAGACTGGCGAAGCGGTCGTCGTTTCTGATGAAAGATTTAACGGTGATTTTACGCCAAAGACGCAACGATTTATCACGACGATCGCCGGCGAACTCTTTTCAACGACGATGAACATATTGACGCGGATTCGACGTGCGTCTTTATCGTTATTAGACATTACGCATCCACCAACTGTTCGCGAAGTCACAACGGGAAGTAATATGCTTCGATATGCTTGCTGTTGTATGATGATTCGTAAATCTGTCGGGACAGTTCTTCCGGAAAGTTAGAAGTAATAATTTTGCTGCACAGACATTGTTAAACGCACATTGTCAATTTATAGACATAGTTAAAGGTAATTGCTAATCAAGATATTACTTTCCAATCAATGAATCTTATTTAATTTTGACAATTCGATATCTCGAGGAGAAAATCCGTAATTTTGTGAGAATTTTTTAAGAGTAGTGAACAGTAGTGTAGTAAAGGAAGGGAATGGGTGATTTAAGAGGGCAGTTTGCCCAAGACACCGTCTTAGCAGGGGTGTTCCTCATTATAAGCAGAAATTTGGAACAGAAAATTTGTTTGTAACGAAAGAAGGAAAACCATAAATCATCTTGGCTGCTCGGATAAAAAACAAAAGAGAAAAATTGTTAACTTTTACGATAAACGCTTTTTTTCTAAAGTAGGAATAAATTTCTGTTCACGCGTAACTAGAAAAATTTTGTTGCTTGTAACAGAGGCAAGTATATAAATGCATTTTTAATGCTTTACGCTTGAGCGTTAATCTACGAGTTTCGGCTATTGGTGGTTGCCAATCATTAGTGTAATAAGAAAGGCATGAGCGGAGAGAGGCTCCGTCTCTCTTTCTTCATTACAGGTTATGAATATTTTACATAAAGAAATCAGATTTGATTCTTAAGAATCTATATAATTTTACGTGTGAGATAGCCTTGTAATACGTATTATGAATTTACTGAAACGTAATTTTGAGGTTATTGATTTTACAAATTAATTATAAAGTTCAATAATAAGATTAGTTTTATAAATTAATTAAAACTGACATTTAAAACTCGCAGATATCGAGAGATTGGGCGTTTTTTGTTCGCCGCGCCCTTTAAAGCGAGATATTGGTCGCGTTCAGCAAACTCAACTGTTACGGAGCGGATCCGTAAGTGCTCGCTGTTATTGGATGATCTCTAGGATGATCTAGAAGAATACACCAATAGCAGCGAGCGCTCACGGATCCGCTCCGCAACAGTTGAATCTGCTGAACGTGACCATTTTGTGTGGCTGGAGCGCTGGAAGTTCACGTGTCTGGCCTTCTATTCGTCGATGCGATTGAAAGGAAATTGAAAGTACAGCTGGAACGAACAGTCTGCTGCGTCTTAATAATTTCGTTTTATGCGCAACGGAAACGCGTTCATTACTGCTCCACGGTCGCAATTTCCTCTGTTACAATTTGATAATAAAAATATCGTTAAAATTAATCGTCAGATCCGTCCTCGCCGGTGCGTGAACACATACGAAAATAAATCTGAATGACCGATCAAGCAATCACATAATAAAAAATAACGAATTCCTATTGCAGCGCTATATTAAAAAATTGACGCAGTAAGAGAAATCTACGACTGTGTACTATTACAGCCTGCTAGGCAAAAAGAATATTCTTGTGAAAAATATCTTTATTCTCAGATATGAAGTGAGAGTATATCATCCTTGTTGTTTAACGTCGGCAAACAACAAGAATGTGGATTCGTTCGCGTCGCATGCTGCAACATGCTTGCACTCCAATGCGCTCGAGTAGGAGCATGTTGGAGCATGCGATGCAAACTTGGCAGGCTAATCGTATTAATTGCATTTCTGTGAATATATTATTTCAACACAGTATTTGCATTATCGAAATACATGTGTTTGCAAGAATATTAAATAATTATTAACTTCTCTTCTTTTTGTTGAATTATTTTCATCTATTGTATACTATCTATTGTATCTGCAGAATATTGTATGTAATAACCATTTTATTAATGCCTATTGCAAATAATATTTCTACTATATGTACTATGAAAATATATTAGTCCTAGAATATTGCGTTTTAATGCGACCCGGGCATACCAAGTTTTTTCTTCACTATAATCCGGTCGACTATTTCAATCTATCTTATACATTGTATGTATTATACATACGTGTCTTGCGTGATGAAGTACTTGGCTAATTGCATTTATTTCGTAACCGTTTTTTATGCGCTTGGCGTATATTTTTTCCTTTTTTAAAGAGGTTTTTTTAGGTTATTATTACATTCCGAAACACAACAGTTTGGCATTTCTGTGTGTATTGTTCACCTGTTATTATTTTATTATAATTATTTATAATCTTATAGTTATTAATGTAAAGGGAAGAAGATTCTTAATATCCAATGGACTTTTGAAATGAACAATTAAAAATGAAAAGACTAATGAGAGTTCGGCGAGATTGTCCTTATCGGTTATATATTGTCAATTAAAGCAAGACTCGATGTACCTAATAGTTGCACTTACGCAAGAATGTATCTTATAATTAATAAAATAAAAGTGTCACAATACTAACCGTAATATTTTGATGCAACCATACGTCTATGACGTGTATGACACACAAGTCACGTGATAGACGCCATTTAATTCCTAACTAGCCTCAGTGGCCAGACTCTGGTATAGGGACTCTAATGTGGCCGAAACGTTCGATCGACGTTGAAGCAAGTCAAAATATAGTTTTTATTTATAAAAATTTATATAAAATTTACGCATCAATAACTGCGCCGTACTCTCATTTGCCTTAATCTTTGTTTAGTTAATTTTTAATTTTGAGAGTCTTTAATAAGTTTTTTGTATTGTTATTAAAGTACTTCTCCTAATATTATATAATAATTCTGTTATCGCGCATTGCGTGATTTACGGTTGTTGTTGTTGATTATACGAGAATTATTATCACCACTGCGCTTTTCGCGCCAATATAAATATTTGATTCTCGTTGATGCTGTTTCATATGCTCTACCACATGTATTATCAAGCAGAAATATCAAGTAGAAATCTGTTGTACAAAACATCACTTGCTCGATACCTAAAGTGTGGATCGACCGAAACATTTAGGAGGTAGATTGAAACGCGAACCGAACGGTCGCGCAATGCGTCGCGTCGTCGGATAGACGATATCCAGGCCACAGCCGCAGGATGTCCGAATTAGGCGTCTGCGTCATCATCAGTCTTAACAATTGTTCCGCTTTTTGTTCACCGTCGACTATCTCGTTCGTGGAATTGAGCGAATAACTATCTCGAATCTTGAGCGCTATTTTTGTCTTTTCGGTCCTATGAAAACTCATTTCTAGAAACGTGCAATTCGAATTTGTGCGACAAGAATGGCGTGCAAATAATGATCGTAGAATGAAAAGAGAAAAAGGGAAAACTTTCGAAAACTTTTCGCGTGCTATTCATTCAAATTAATAAAGAACTCCGCACAAATTGTATGTAAAAGTGTATAGGCCTTTCGACAGTATATGTGGCTCCACGGTTCACTCCCGTGGTATTTAACGATTCCAAATCCTTTCTACTATGTGCGTGCGTGTGTGCATGATTATACATGTATATGGTAAAGATGATAAATTCCTTATCTTTATATTTTATTTTATATCATATTTTATTACATTTTATATTTTACTTTTTTTATTTTATTATATTTATATGTTATTTTTTATGTCTTATTTTATTTTTATTATTTTTATTTTTTTTTAATTCTTTTGCCGTAAAAAAGAGTAAACAAATATCTTGTACTTTTGAAATAATAAGCTTTCGTGAGTCTCTATTTTTAGGGGTGTGTGTATTTTTAAACGAGTTCTATTACTTCAACTATTGTATCACAATCTTCTTGTGGTTGTCTATTGCCAACATCTATAATGAGATCTATTATTAATGAACGTGAATATTTGGATAACACATTATTAAATTCATGATTTTTTATTATATAAATGCTGCATAAATAAGTATGCATATACTTGTAATATCTTATATTGTATATTGTCGCAAAATTATTTTTTGTCTACAATTATCAATAATATTCAAAAGTATTCAATAATACTTCGTTCAAGAATCGCACGGACTCATTGTTAATCTTTTTCTTTTAGCAGGCGAGTGTATTTATACGTCGAGAGATTTGAGTAAAGATGTTAGGAAGGCTTTTCTCCGTCCATATTTCTGCTCCGTGATAAATGCGTCTATATATTTGTGTCTATATATTCTACCGGGACCATATGTTTCACCATTTTGTTCGCATGTGTTAAAGATCCCCGGGGATACAAAGCATCATTTCTCCAGCTTACACCCGAGATCATTTGCGGAGCGAATAGAAAGAGAGACGTTAGGAAATCTGTATTTCTCTTCGGGTTTTTTCTTTTTTCCCTATCTCTTTTCAATCCGAGCAAACGCCGACCGAGAATTTAGGACCGTCTTGTCAGTGGGCTTTTTTGCTGGGCGCATATAACTCGATGGAAAAATAAATAGCGGTCTCCCTCGAGCAGTTATAAGTGCGATAAGACAAAGCTGTCTTGATGCGAAAGGGACACTTGAGAGACGCGAGAGAAGTGTGGGAGACCAAGCGCGGCTAGGAGAAAAAAAAAGAGAGCAAGATAAAAAGAAACCAACAACACGTGTAACATTGACTCCTCGTTGGCATAGTCGTTGAACTCGATCATCACCGTTCGCATTTTAAAAGAGTACAAATCTTGTTTATAAAATTTACATAATAGTAAAGCATTTACTATATTTAAAAAACCTAAAAAATTTAGAATTTTCAGAGTTCCTGTTTTATCCTTGAAAATGAGGCATTTTTTCATGAAAATTTATTGTTACGATTGAACGAAATTTTTAGAATTTGATTTTTAAATTTAAATCCTGTCTTTGTCCGATATTACGATACTTCTTTCTATAAATTAACTTTCTCTAAATTAACGATTGAATTAAATTATTTCAAAAGCAAGAGTCGGAGGAAACCTCAAGCGATTAAAATCATGTTAACAACGACTCATATTTTGTCAAATGTCAAATGGTAACGACAGCGCCGCCGCGAGTCGACATCATAATATTGATTTTAGATTCGATTTCGCATGGGCAAAAATCTTGTCCTATCATTTTTTTTCAAGACATTCCTGATTCTAATCAGCTAAAAACAAATTCTATGAATCCGAGAAGAAAATTCTTATGGTGTTCTTTTGCAAATTGCGTAATTAAAATAATGGTGACTGTATTATTGATAATATTATGTCATTTTAAATGTTTATAGTTTCATAAATTAGTTTTCTTTACAGAATAGGATATATTTTTATTTATAGAATAGGAATGTTGGCATTTTATATATTGCCTACTATGTCAGTTTTGGAGCCCATTTTGTCAGACGCTCATTTTTGCATAACTTACGAAAAACTTAATTATTGCAAAATTACAAACAGTATTATAAAAACTGCTTATACTATCTGTGATAGAAGACACTTTTTAGTTTGTATTTATGTTTTTGAAGTTATATTTTTACCTTTCGTTTAAGAAATATTGTCTAAAAACAAAGTGGTATGTCGGTATCGGTGACCTTCCCCTACTAATTTGCACTACCAAAAACAATTTGATATTATTTGTTATTTCCAAGAAAACTGTGACTCTGTTAGCTTATTATACGAGAGCTGTCCAGAGAAAGTAAGTTCCGTTTTTTAATTTTGCCGTCGCGACGGTGCGATCGCGATGGTACGCATGTATGACGACGAGTTTATTGATTCGTTGGCAAGGGATTGACGCGATTTTCAATTATTGGTTCAGTGCATACGCATTGTAGTGTGTGTTTATAATGTTTAAATAAATCGCGACGCCCGCCGCTTACAGTGAAATACGGTCTATGATCCATTTCTCAAATGCGACGAACACTAATGCGGTTGAAATTCACCGTCAAATTTGTGAAATGTACGGAGGATATGCAATGAGTGATTCAATGGTAGTACGGAGATGGGTATGACTTTTCAATGAAGGATGCGAAAATGTACACGACGATGAACGGAGTGGACGACCGTCTCTGGTTAATGACGACGAATTAAACCTATGTGTCCAACTCAATTAATAGTATAGGTTTAATTCTTCTTCACGGATATTTTTATTATTGAAGATCTTATTGTAACCCAAATAATGGCAGCTTTAATTCTCTATCAAAAATTATTACTCCTCGAAAAAAACTAATGTACCAAATGAAAAAATAAAACCCAAGTGAGGGAGGGGGGGGGGTACTATCTTTGTTATTTACTTAACTCTGATGATATCATTTATAAAAAAAGATTTGATATCAACAATTGGCGCCAAGTTAAATCCCATATCGAATTAAATAAATAATATTAACTCTAATGATGTGTATCATTCGTATAAAAGATTTGATATCGACAACTGGTGCCAAGTTAAATCCCATACCAAATAAAATAAAGAATACAATCCATAATTGCGTTACCTTATCCATTCGAGTGTTGACAACCACAAAAAGTTAAAGTAAAGACTTGATGCTGCTAGATCACGGTATAACAATGCTGAAAAACATGAATGTAATATTTAAAATAAGAGAAATGAGAAACATTCCCATGAGAGTAAAAGTATCCAGCGTAGGTGGATACTTTTATATAATATATTCGATGGGGTTAAACAGTCGTATAAGTTACGAAAGTTGTGCAAGCTATTAGGTCTAAGATAAATAAACTTGATGAAATACCGTTGAAAGCACAAGACGCATGAGAGCTACATAAGTAATATTATTTATTGATCGAAGATCGAGGATCTTAATTGTAATACTATAATATAAGCAGCGATAGTGTGAACAATCCTTGGGGAGAAATGCGAGACAAGGAAGTTCATCCCAGAGAATTAGCGGAGTCAATTAGTACGTTAGTCGGCGCCGTCGCTTAATGAAATTAATTAGGCTTGCCTTAGTCTCTCCGGTCGCTCTTCAGAGTAAGACACATTATCGTCTTTAATTCGAAATATTCCCTTTTCAGAGGAAGAGCAAGTATCAGGAGGCGAAACTAAAGGCGCTCAAAGCGAGAAACGAGTACATCCTGTGTCTGGAGGCTTCAAACACGACGATACACAAGTATTTCGTCGACGACCTGTCCGATCTCATTGACGTAAGTTACTCATCCATGCTCGGGTTCGCACGTGCACCCTATTGATCCCGCGACCAATGGCTGCGTTTTCACCAGTCTCTATAACCGTAAACACTCATCACATTGTAAGACTAATATCACGTTCATCCGTTTTTTGTTGTTGAAACAAGCTTTCAAGCCTGTTGATTGGCTGCAGGACAAAGAGGTTCTCGAATCTCTCTGTCCTACAGCTAATCGACAGGTTTGAAAAGTCTTGTTGTATGACACATGAAATATCGAGTTGTATGACACATGGAATAACGTGACGATATATAAATCGTTTGGATCGAATTTATATTCTGTCATTTAACAAATCATTATCCAGTGTTTTATCTAATAGAAAATACAAAAATAACTAGAAAAGATAAAATAACGAAACGTAAAAATGATCATAAAGAAGATCGAAAAACTTTGAAGGAGAAGTTAGATTCAACTTACTGTCTTTAACTTCTACTTTTCTCGGTACTGGGCCTTTACTGAGATTGAAATCCTAAACTAAAGAAGAACTTCAATTTTTAATCATTAATGTGACGTAATTTACTTTGGAATAAGAGATAAATAAAGATTAAATATGTATGTAAATTTGTCTTTACCTTTAGTGCATGGATTTTGGATTCCACAATTGCATAGCAAGGGCACTGTTGATGCACTGTAGCGCGGAGGAGGGTAGGCAGCGTTCCCTGCAATCTGGCGCCGAACAATTAACTGCGTTCGTCGGTGCACTCGACTCCCGAGCGGATAAGCAGAGATTTATGGAATCTCATCACGCGGCCTTCATGATTCCCAAGAAGTTTGAGTTCCAAGGACAGCGTGGAGATGAGGTATGAAAAAAAAGGAGACAAACGGACAGACAAAGAGAGAGAGAGAGAGAGAGAGAGAGTAAGTGGTATGAATTACGAATATAGTTAGAAATAGGATTGGAATAACAAATTTACAAAAAAGAGCGCATTATGTAATATTGCCACCCGTTTTGCCAATCCGGTCGTAACGGAGCAGATAATAGCCGGAGATAATACCCCAGAGAGATCATGTGGTTGGAAATAGCCGGTTTTAGTCAGGTTTTAGAAAGACTGATGACATGATATCCCAAGTTTGTGAAATATGATTTAAATCCATCAAAATGCGCGAACAGTGATTGACAGTTTACATGATATGCGAATGTATTCCTTAATATAGTTATTCATAGTTTACACTTTTTAACTGTTCCGAAATTTGCTGACGGAGGATGGGACATTTCATACTATCTAAGGCCGAGGGGCTGAGCACTAGTAGATAGTAAATTATTATCGCTTTTATTTTTCCTGTTTTTCTTTTTTTTTTTTAATTTTGGGAAATTTATATCAGATATCCGAGAAAATATCCAGAATTCGGCCGGATAATTGCCCTACCGTATGTTCGACTGGATATCGAATATTCGGTGTCACTTATTTCTCGGATATCCGGCAATAACCGGTATCCAGTAATTGTACGATTCGGTACATCCCTAATTTTAATTATATAATAGTTAATAATACAATTAAGCATGAGAGAATGAATTTTAAAAATTATGGAAAATATTCTGATTTTTCGAAATTTCTTCGTAGCCATTGTCGCTTGCGATCCATTAATCTGTTTCTTCCCAATAGACGCCCGAACCCGAATTGCAAAAGATGCTGCACTCTGAAATGGAGCAACGACTGCAGCAGCTACAGCAGAGGGTGACGTCGCTGCGAACTGAGTCAGAGGAAGTGTGGAAGACTTTGGAGACGGCGGAAGCGAGTCTGCTTGAAATGTTGACCGCTAAAGATTATGATTGCTCGAGATATTTCGGCGAGAACGCCGTATCTACGTCCAGGCCGCCGGAGACGCTGCAAATCAAGTTACGAGCTGACAGACAAGAGACTGAAGAATTCTACCTCACGGTGAGTTTTATGAGAGCATTCTATCTCCCTCTCCTTCGTGGCGAACGAAAGACACATCGTGCGATAAAATATTGATCATCGCATTAATATTCGAAAGATAAAGGAAACGCGTTAGGACAAATAGAAAGCAACCGGACGCGCATCACTACGCGCAATATTGATTATTTTTCGAAATAAAAATGCGGTTTTTCATCTATATTAAAGAATTTTCGAAAAAGGAATTAAAAAGTCGAACGGGTATGATATTATTATTCAATTTCTTTTTTTTTATCTGTGTCTATATTTCTATATACAGGGTGTCCCGTAAAGACCCGAACAACACTTAAGGGGAGATTCCTGAGATCATTTTGAGACGAAAATTCTAGTATCAAAATGTTGAGGCTACAACAATTTTTTGAATTATAAGCTAACTTTAAATACTTATAAGTAAAAAACCATTTTACTTTTATAGCCTTGTGCGTGCGTGCGTGTAAAGATTGGCAGAATTATTGGCATGCGGAATCAGACTTTATATTCTGTTTTAAAAAAACTATTAACAAAAATATAATAATACATAATATACTACTCAATAAAATTAAAACATTGCTTAAAATTAGAGCTAAAGACAAAAATTCAAAGTTACATACCTTTCTTTTTTTTTAACGCTTTATTAAACATCGCTCTATAATTGTTTTTCGCGAAGATACGTAACTTTTAATTTGATCTTTTTTTTAGCGTTAATTTAAGCGGTTTAATATTTTGTATAGTATAATAATATAATAAATATAAAACGATAAATTGAGTGCAATCAGAACGACAACCGCTCATGTTATGTTGATACAACATAAAGTAACTGATACAATAAACATTCTGGTAAATTCTGATAAATCGTCTTCGACATGACAGAAAAAATGCGATTCACAAAAATCATGTTATCCTTCACGTTGATGTAGAAATTCAGGGAATACCTTCTTGGGACGTCGAGAATAGCCAGGTTAGACGCGAAACAGGAGTATATCCGACAGAGTCTGCTGGATGGCTCAAATGCTAGCCCGAACCCGTCGATTTCCACGACAAAGCAGAAGCAAGCACGCCGCAAGCGAATCGGTCGTCTGCAGATGAACGGTCAACCGAAGCTGTTTGGCGGTTCGCTCGAGGAATATCTGGAGAGCACGAATCAGGAGATACCGCTGATCATGAAGAGCTGCATCCGCGTGATTAATCTATATGGCTTGCACCATCAGGGTATCTTCCGTGTGTCGGGCTCGCAGGTAGAGATCAACAATTTCCGCGAATGGTTCGAGCGTGGCGAAGATCCACTTGCGGATGTCACTGATGCTTCGGACATCAATAGTGTCGCCGGGGTGTTAAAGCTCTATCTGAGGGAGTTGCGCGAGCCCCTCTTTCCTATCATCTATTTCGAACATCTGATGGAGTTGGCGCAACTCGAATCGAAACAGGACTTTGTTAATAAAATGAAGGAGATGGTAGCGAGTCTGCCACGGCCGGTTGTAATCGTCATGCGATATCTTTTTGCCTTTCTCAACCAGTGAGTATTATCGCTCTGCGAAGAATTCACGTGTAAAGTTGTGCTGGATTTAAAGTTGCCTGGTCTATATTTAAACAGCCTGTCGGAATTCTCGGACGAGAACATGATGGATCCGTACAACTTGGCTATCTGCTTTGGCCCAACCTTGGTGCCCGTTCCGGAAGACAAGGATCAGGTCCAATATCAGAATCAGGTTAACGAGCTTATCAAGAACATCATCACATTTTGCGAGGAAATCTTTCCGGAGGACATCGGGGGCACTCAGTATGAAAAATACATCAGCAGAGAACCCGACGACGTGTAAGTACAAATAAGTTGATCTATTTATCGAATATTATGTTAAGACAATCAACATTTAACATATATGTATAACATATATGTATAAACAACATTGTAAATGAATCTAATTGTAAGAAATGTCGTAACTTTTTATCAGTCTTTATCTCTCTTGCATTTAACAATTTTTTTTACTATTGACATAATTCATAATTTAGGGATGTGGGAGATTCGCCGACGGATCAAGTACAGGAAGACATGGACTCGGAAGTTTACCCATCCGAAGATGGTAATGCAATTTTTTTCGAAGATGTAATCGTTAAATTAAAAAATATTTTGTATAAAGTGTAATATCTTCTATCTATTAGAATCAGAAAATCTCGAAGCTACGGCGCAGTTTGACTTCAATGCAAGATCAGAGAGAGAGCTGAGCTTCAAGAAGGGCGACACCTTGACGCTTTACACGCAGGTCAGCAATGATTGGTGGCGAGGTGCTTTAGCTGGCAGAGAGGGACTGATTCCAGACAAATATATTATGCTCAAGATAAAGTTAGTAATATTATATAATATTAATTATTATGAATTTTATTTTAACGTTTAATAAGAAAGGACTCCATGCACCTCTTGGAAAATTATTTCCCGGTAGAATTTATTCAAACTTTGGGATTTTATAATTCATGGAACGCCGATTCCATCGAAAAATTTTAATGGGCTTCGCAAACTATACACTAAGAGAAACGTGTTTAGTACTAGTGACTATAATTGCAAAATAATTAGGTTAGGAATTCCATTTTTATACTGCTATAATGTTTGTAATATTTGTGTAATAAATGTTTGTAATAATAAGTATCTTTATATAGTTCTATATACAAAAAAGTATATAGTTGGTATCAAAAGTATAATTCATTTTCGATATCAATTATATATACAGGGTGTTTCCAAATTAAATCGCAAAACTTCGGGAGCGTGTAGAGGAGTAAAAAACTAAGAAAAAAAGTCCTATAGACATATGCTCGTTTTTGCTCCGTTTCAGAGAAATCGAAAAAAAATGTTTACATTTCTTGCCATATCTAGCACCGACATATTTGATTACATTTTCCACTTTCTGTTATGAATTTGTCAGTCGCTCTTTGAAAGCCTTTAACAGTAGATGAATTTTGTCTTTTGCAATATGCCGCGTACGTATTCTAATAGTGAATATGCTGATATGGTTTTTGTATACGGTTTCTGCAACGGTAATGCTTTAAAGGCGGTGCGAGAATATGCACGACGATTTCCAAACAGAAGAGTGCCAAACCGAAGAGTGTTTATGTTGACATTTAATAGATTGCGAGAGACTGGATCATTTTCAATTCGACAAGAAAACAACCGATTTCAAGCAGCGTTACGAAGAGATTTGCAGGCAGGGAATCGTATTTTACAACATTTTGACAATCATCCTGAGACCAGCGTTCGGAATGCGTCGGCTGTATTGGGAGTGTCACCACAAACAATTTGGC